AAATAAATTATTTATTTGACAGAAGTAAAATTTATTTGATTCCAGAATATATTTGGTAAATAAAACTTATTGAATAGTTGAGCAAAATAAGCGATTTTGTAATAGTTACAAAATTTTTGGTAGTTTCAACCAACCGTCTGTAATAATAGATATTGAAACGATGTAATAGCTGCAAATGAATGAATTTTTCATTGTGCTGCAACAAAACATACTTATACTGATAACAAAATAGAACTCGTACCTACTGAATTTTTTATTACATGGGATATGACAATTTCATAACAATTATTGAATATCTGTTCATAACTGTAATATATTTCATATTAAATATTTAACATTAAATAACTACTACTAAATTATTTAATTGATATTACTGTGAATGCAATTACGTCATACTCCCAATCTATTAAATATTTGGCAATTATTATCATATTTAGTATTAGTTATTAAGGATCCAACGAATTTCTGTAACTAAATGCAGTTTGTTATAGTTACCAGTCTTTTCTCTCAGTGTAGGGCCAAAAATCGCGTGTAACTCTCGAGCTAGGGAATCAATGACGTCGTATATGCCATAGACTTATATAAACAGACTGGTCCCTGCCGTAGGAGGCAACGTGGTGACATCTACGGTACATAACCTTCCGGGTAGATCTGTCCTACTCTAAAGTAGGAATAATGGGGATGAAACCAAATGAGAGGAATGTATAGAATGAGAGGAAGAAAGCACTTTTATTGTGAAGGAGAAATTTTGTGAAGTAAGTAGTCTAATATAATAAGGTAATAGTTATCCTAAGTTAATTAATCTTTTAAAGCGCATAATTCAAGGAATATTCTAGTAACTATACTAGTAGCATCTATCAGTCTTTAAAACCAAAAGTGGGGAGTTTCAACTGCCCTATCCTAAATGGTCCTTATTGATACCAGTGATACTTAAAAGGTTAATGTGTATTTATTTTTCCGTATGCACACTATTACACGTTATTCTGTCCTCATTTATTGACCAATGTGTGTGTTTCATTCGCTACTAGTCCTCGCCAAGCAACTAAAAGAAAAGGACAGATCTATCCAGATGGCTATGTCTGCGTAGATGTTGCCACGCTATCTTCTATGGCAGAGGTCGGTCTATCTATATATGTCCATGATATATGCATACACTTGATTTCTGAATAGTTTGCGCACATTTTTCCTCATAACATTTGCAGCGCTCTTTGTCATAATTGAGAGAGACTGACGTATTTACGCGGTAATCGCTTTTGGCAGCAGAGTTATGAGTAATTAATTATTCTTTTTAAGTAATTATCGCGTCTAATTGACGAGTAATATGAGCTAATTTAATTGGAGACCGTTTAATTAACAATTGATGCCAACACATTCAATAGACGATTAATTTCAACGAATTCAATCAAGGCCTCTGAGTACTTGCGTCGACTATTTTTGTTTGATGACGTCAAAAGTGAGAAAACATATGTTCATGATCTTTGCGTTATACGTTGAAATAAAAAGATTTATGCGTAAAACGATACTTGTGATCGATTTAGCAAATTTGTAAAATATTCCGAATGCTTTCCTTTTACTGTTGAAATCAATAAATAGTTGTAAAATTAATGTGACACGCAACTCAAATTTTAACAAAACTTTTTTCATCATTTCTGTTATGTTAATTTTACGGTTATTTATTGATTGTGACAGCAAAAGAGAGTGTTCGGAGTATATTACAAATCTGCTAAATCGATTACAAGTGTGATCCCCTTGTCCACAACCTTGCTTTAATTCCTAAGCCTTAAGAAATTGACCAACCACAGTTGATTATTTTTAAAATAGCCGTAATTGATCTTGTTGGTCAATTTATTACGGCTTAAAGAATAAAGCAAGGTTGTGGACAAAAGGTATATGGATATATCAATTTATTTTAACTTCATACAACACAACGTCTAAAATCGGAATATAAGACGTCTGAAAGACATCTTAAAGACGTCTTATGTCCCGATTATAAATGTGTTGTGTGAGACGTGTAACGGACGAATCGTGAGCATGCAATTTCTCGCTTCTGATGTCATGAAACAAGAACAGCCTACATGAGCTTACGTGAGAGATCAAGGACTTTAAAGATCATTCAATCGACAATTGATATGAGCAAAGAAAATTAAAGATTGACCAATAAAAGTCATTTAATTGACGATTGATTTGGACAAATTCAATCGATTTAGTCGGAAATTGTTCGGTAACAATTGATGTAACCAGTGTCCTCCTCAACGCGAGTCTTATTTAACGCTTCTCAATTATCGGCATCTTCCATAATGCCACGATGCACCGGATATGAATATTATTTACAAAACCAATTGTAACTTGAGTAATCGAATGCTCTACGACTGAATCGATTGAATTTACTCGTAGCAATTGTCACTTAAATGATCTTTAATTAAACTTGCTAAATTCAATCGTCAAATGAACGGTCTTTAATTAGATTTGCTAAGTGTCGAATTATTAATTGAACGACCTTTGATTCTCATTGCTCACATCAATTGTCAATTGAACGGTCTTTAATTGAAATCAACCGTCTGTTAAACATTCCTCGATTGATTTTGCTCGTATTAATTGTCAATTAGTTGAATTGATACCTATCTGTCCGAATTAATTATTAGATTGAGGAAAATTTAATCGATATTTTTACAATCCTGTTTGGTAGGAGCCATAATGATAGTACACGACGTGATTGATCCTTTATTATATTCTAATTAATTAAATTCAATTTAATTTAATTTTAAGTAATTTTTCTATAATAAATAAGAATATAATGATGATACTTGCTGTTACGTGTTTTTCCTGAATTTTCGTTTGCAGTTGTGATGTCGGATGTCTCATAAGAGAGCCTGAGGCGTAACAGGATCGTGACGCATAATGGGGTATCGTCGATAACATTTTCAAGAGGCGCTGCCACGTAGTGAAATGTTTTGCAATTACTACTGTTAATTATCTCTTACTGCGTGCTATTTATCAGTCGTCATAATATTTTCGCTTGAAAGATGCTAGATGTTGTTTTATGAGTTTCCTGTGTCCTCTCCGCAACTACGTTGAAACATTGTTTGATACATTTGTATAAGGTAAACAATAATAAAATTCTGCTTTTTATTATCGTATGTTACATTTTACGTTATTAAATAGCTTTCTCAATTTAGTTAAGTGCCTGTGCAAATATTTATGATGTTTTACATTACATAATTCAAACTCATACATTTCGTAGGTATAAGGAGATTATGCCATTACATTTCTGAAACGTTAAGATATATTATTTTTTTTTCATATGTTGTCCCAAAAAAATGACATCAAAAGTTACCATATCAGATATTGATTGTTATTAATATTTTAATAAAAAAGATTATAGATTTGTTGTTTTATAAAAAGTACTGTTAATATATAATTATAATTAATTAAACAAATAATGATATTATAAATTGAATAAAAAAATAATTATAATTAATTAAATGTTCAATAATATAATACATTTTTATGCATTTCATATCTTAATAAGTTGTTTTGAAGAACTTTTGAAGATTAATGATTGGAAAATAAACAGCTTTTGCGAAGTACCCCATTTTTCTCCGCGTAGAATGTATAATGAGATTAAGTGTTGTTCTCAGGAAAACATTTTCGTCCCTTTTAATTATTTCTTCACAGTAGAACTTGTGCTGTTTCTTATAATGGACGTTTCAAAAAGCGTTCTGATGTAATATGAAATTGATTTGTTTATTTTTAATATGGTTAAAATTTATAAGACTCCCATTCCCGGGTAGGAATTTAAAAGAGGGCTTTTAAAGGTCCTAGATAGCTTTTCCCCATTTCTGTCTAGGCGCCATTCAGTTAAACCCGAATAGGCTCTGTACAGAGATGTAACGCTTTTATGAGTCAGGGCCTGATTTGTAAATCTGACGAGGCCCTATTCTGGCACGCCTATGTAGGCCCTTAGACACGTCTAAGTAGAAAAAAACATTCTTTTATGTATGATATGTACTACTTTTTTTCTAATAACTATTCGTAAAGGTCGCAGCGCTTGCTGATTTTATTTGAAAACTTTAGATTACTTGATTCCAACGCTACATCACATTTAAAAATTCTCAGCGACACTGGTGAGACTGGTGGACTCGAACTTGGACCCTGAGCCTAACTAAGGCATTTCTAGATTATGAATTTGTTGCTTTAGACACTATGCCACTTCTTCAATCGATATAAGCGTCTTACATTTTATTCATATATGTTGTGATTAACACAATAATATAATTTTTTTTTAATGTAACTTAATAAAATTTTAATAAAAATTACATTTTTCGTACTTTTATTGTTAATAAAACCCTGTGTATTTAACCCTTAGCTAATAAGGTGAGGTCTACAAAACCCCGCACTTCCATTTCGTTATTTTTAAATTTTTATAGTAAAATTTTTTTATTGTTGATTGTTATTAAATAAATAAAGTCATGGAAGACTATAAACTTTGAGTAATTATAAAGGAATACAATTAAAAGAAGGAAAAATCTACCTTACCATATAAGATTTCATTAAATTAATTAAATTTATATATAAATATATAAATCAACATTTATTATAAGCGATTTCTGAAATATTTTAGTGAAAAAGATTTTGATAAAATGTTGCACAAATATTTATAAATTATTTAAATATTATATTTCAATATAATTTCCAAGTTATCTTTCGGAAAGCTTGCTGTGTGGAACCCTATGACATGCCTTATTTGGAAGACTGTATTTTTGAGAACCAAAATCATAGATATTTTGGTTTTACTTCAAACTTATGTAAATTTTACTTCAGTCTAAGACTGTAAACTAAAATTTTGTAAGACTTTAAACTATTTCAAGAATTGAATAAACAAGAACTGACTGAATTATATAAGTATGTCTTTGAATTACAGTATGTTTGATAAGAGCGTGTACGGCAAAACTCAAAAACTTAGGATAATACATAAATTGAAAAAATTTGTACACATTATGCATGATATAGACTGCGATGCTTTATTATTAATAAGTTGTCCAGTCGCCTCCATTATCAATAATTGACTGGCATCTCCGAGGCATACTTTCTACTAATTTTACAGCATAATCTTCAGACAAAGATCTCCATATAAATCGAATCTGTCGA